TCTGACGGTTGCTTCTCCGATCTCTTGCTGTGCTTGCGATCTTCCTCCCGGTGGCGTTCCCGTCTCCTATCATCATCCCGGCGGTCGCGACGGCGATCATGCTCTGAATCATGGTCTTGGTGACGATGATCACGCTCGGATTTCCTGCTGGATACTCGAGGGGGAGAGTTGAACCTCTGACGAGGCTCCGGTGATAATCTCTCCGATCGCCTGCGACGGTCGTAATCCGGATTCGGTGGAGATGGTCTCTGTTCATTGACCAAAATAAACAAGGAAATTTAAAACCTTTATTTTGATAAGCGTAAAAGACTTGCACTTGAAGATGAATAAAGAAGGAAGATGAGATACATACAGATTTTGGCTTCATTGGTGAGGAAGAGGCTGCGGCAGAGTTGTTCATCATTCTGCTCTTCTCACCGGCATTCCCTCTGCAACACACAATAACAAAGCAACTTAGTTTAACATTATGCTGCAACAAGCAGACTGAGTAAGCCTCAAATGAGGGCACAGTGCTGATAAATACCTCTCGTTTTCACGCTTTCTCATCATCTCGACTTTCCGAGCTTCAAATTCCTCTCTCCCCATGAGAGGACGTTGGAGATTCATACGGTTTCCCATCTCCGCAAGGTCCCTGCTCATATGTCCATTTGTCAATTACACTCTTTGCTCATGAAGATAATGTATTACAACACCATTTATCAAGTGGTGAGTGAGAGTGAGAGTGAGAGTACCTATGAGGTGGTGGTATATTAGGGAAACCAAAGCCCTGTGGAGCAAAAGGCGGTGGATGCATCACGCCGTGAAAAGACATGTCCATGGGGCCTCCAAGTCCATACATGGGAGGCATGGCGCCGGGATAAGGGCCTCCAAACCCATTGAAACCATGGTGAAAGCCGTTGAACCCGGGTTGGAACCCGCCTTGCATACCGTTGAAGTAAGGATTACTCGGACCTGGACCCATAGGCATCATGTACTCAGGCCCTGCTTGCATGGGATTCCATTGCATGTCTGCCACTGGGATCACACACAAAAATCATCTGTTAACCATTGACTGACTATAAGAAGAAAGAGAAAGAGCATACAAGGAAACACAAGCTACCTGTTCCAGGCATCCGAGGTTTCTTCTTCTTCTTTTTAACTGGTCACAAGAGCAAAAATTAGCATTACTTTACCAAAGATATTCATATATCATAAAT